ACAGACTTATATAAGAGATCCAGTAAGTCGTTCAGCTTATTCAACTGCACAGACTTAAATATAAGGAGAATTATGTTTTTTTTTATAATTCATACCCTTATTCCAAAATAGGTAGGACTGAGTATTTTGAATCAGTCTGTCCCTAGTATGCCACCGTCCCATACCGGTGCATACAATCTACAAAATTCATATAATTGATCGAACAGGTAAAACTGTTCACCAATTAAAATCCATAAGGTAGGAATTAGCGTTTTGAGCTAACCATACCTAATATGTCACCGTCCCATACCGGTGCATACAATCCTCCATATCCATGTAAATTACAATATATAAATAATAAGTAAGTAATTTACAATCCAAAACCAAATATCCATATCATTGCAGAAAAGTGTTTTAAGTTTCAGCAATCTAAATCCAAGAGTTAAACCATGTATTATTTAACAGTTCAACAACTAGCATCCAAAATATACATAGATCAAAACCAATATAAAACCTTATCATGCATTTAAAAACAAGTTTTATTAAAATATTGGATTCCATTAAATTGCTAAAATTTAATTAAGCAATTAATCTGTCTTCCATCCGTTAACAGCGTAGAAAATTTATTAATTTTATACTGTTTGTCCCATTGATTTAAAAAATCAACTTAAATCATTTCAAGGTTTTAATCACACCCAAAATTAACTATTTAATCTCTCTGTGAAGTCTCATTAAATTTCTGAAATTTAATCAAGCTATTCTGTTCCTTTCTTCTGTTAATAGCATGCACAGTTGTATATTTTTACACTGCTTCATCCTTTATCATAGAGACTTAAACCATGCAACAATGAGTTTAATAACACTTAGAGTTAACCATTTAGACCCTCTGTGAAGTCCCCACAACCCACTAGAACCATTCAAAAGCTCAAACAGTGCCCACAATATCAAACAGTTCGTAAAACCCATTCACAGAACGCACAAAAATGTTGGAGCCTGCTCTAAAATAAAAGAGCAGGCTCTTTCCCACTTAGAGCCGGCTCCAAACACCCTTAGAGCCGGTTCTTGCTGAAGGAGAACCGGCTCTTGGCTTTCCAGAGCCGGCTCTCTTCCCCTTGAGAGCCTCCAGTCCAGTTTCTTCTCCGATTACGACCTTCTGCTTCATCTTCGACCTATTTCTATCATTCCGTTGGTTTCTAAAACTGATTTTAGGTGTTTTATTAATACCCAGTAGCATCCCAATGGTTTGATACCAACAATTAAAATCAATTACAGAGATTAAATTTGCTACTGAACTAACACGCGTTAGGAACACAACTGAAACTATTTTTGCAACAACAGTTCTATCACAACCCCTCTGTTCCTCTTCACAAACTGATCTTAGGAGTCTTATCCAATCCCAGTAAAAATCTCATGGTTCATTTACAGTAATTGAAAGCAAAAACAGTAACTGAAATTACAACATAATTCACATGCCTTAAGAAAACAGAACCGAAAACATACATGCATGAGTTACAACAAATATGATTTCAACACAACCAGATCGTCAAATAAGCATATAATAAACATATAAATTCCAGTTATTAATTGATTAAACCCTAGAGACTAACTCATGAGAAGAACTTGCCTCTTTAAAGGTTTTGATTTGAAACCTTTCACCGTTTTCTTCCTAGGTTTTTCCGGCGACCTTAGTTCCATTGACCCTTCTCTGTCACTCTTGGTTTAACCCACAAACATCCCTCAACCTTCCTCCTTGGTCCGGCCTATAATCCTTGGCCAAAACCCTAACTGCTATCGCTCAATTTTCTCACGTTCAGTTTTCTCACAAGTCTCTGTTATGATGTTCTACCTTCACTGTGTTGTGAATAGGGTTCTCAAACCCTAGAGACGTATAAGTTATATATTTATAACTAATTCCAAATCCTAAGTCAATAAAACCCTAAACCTAAAACCTAATTAAAATCATAAACTGAAAACCTCTTTAAAACCTAGTCGGCCTATACGATACAACAGAATATACGTAACCCTAAAATTATAATATATATCAAATTATGATTATTAATAAATACCAATAATGAAAACTAACCCTATATACGTATATACCCATATATACATGTATATACTTCCATGGGTAAAAACTGTACCCATTTATTCCATCCAAACAGTCCGTTAATCCTATCCAAGTCCAGGTTCGTTTAAAAATAAAACAACACATTTAATTTAACATTTAAATACACAATTAACAATTTAAATCAAATAAAACAATTAAACACCTAAGCAACTAGTCACGTAAAAATGCAATAAAAATAATTGAAATTCCAATTTTATCATTTTTAAAACTAGGGGTATAACACAAGGGAATAATCATTCCACTTTCAAAGTGGCACACCAAACAAGAGAAAGGAATGAGAAAGTGGAATGGTCATTCCATTCCACCCCCATTCCATCACACCAAACTTGGCCTTAAAGAATAAACCTAGCTTTTGAAAACGTTCCTCCGTTTTCGTACTTTACTTTGTAACAAATTCATTCATGATACCAATGGAGACTGATACCTAGATCTCAGTTGTATTAATTTAAAGCAAAACTCTAATTACTCCAAAAGTTGTTTTCCCCTGTTCTCCTTTTTAATTCCGCTGTGATGTTTTTCATCTTTCTGCAGATATTGGTTATCAGTTGGTGCCTAGCCTTCGAACCCTGTCAAACGCCTACTTTTCAAAGCAGGGTTGCTACCCCCTCCACCAATGCTGGCAATGGGACGCAAATGAGGGCCACGAGACACCCATCCAATAGATTCTATGACTGGACGCCATTTGACATCGAAGAAGTCAGACAACACTGACCAATCAAAGGACTCTGAAGGTGATGGAGATGATGATGAAGACAGTGCAACCTCATGAAGCTTATACATCTCTGGTTTCTAAGATTAGTATTGCTAGGATTGATCTGCTCAGATCATTAAAGAGTTGTTTGAACTTTAAAGTTGTGTAACTCGTGAATAACCCCCAAAGCAACTTCTATTGAGATTTCAGTGCTTAATCTAGATATAGGGCTATGATGTACGTTCTGCGACTTCGTCTTGTTGCAGAAAGAACTTCATTTTATATTTGTGTTAGCATATATTGGTTTCAATTTTTATTTATTCAGGTCACCCACACACAAACATGGATTTTATGATTCAAATTTATTTATTTATTTTTAACAAGGCAAACGAGCAAAATAAAATATAAACACTCACAAAAATAGCTCCACTCAAAATATAGATTTGACATGCAAAAATGACATTTTGCATTGGAGATGGTCTAATAAATATGGATGGATTAAAGAAATTGAGAGTAAAATTGGGCCAACAAATGAACACCATTATAATTACTTATTATATACCACATTTGCTTTTAAATCGAGATGCCACATCGGAATACTATTCACTCAAAAATCAACATTGACAAATATTTAAAAATCATAACCACATATTTTCTTTACTTTGTAGATGCTTTTTTAATTATCATGAAAATTTTGAAAAAAGAAGAAGAAGGTTTTTAACTAAAAGACATAACATGTATATATATATACATCATTAATCCGTTTGAATGCATCCTTAATTAACATTAATTGTGCCAAATTACAGTTCTTGTATTCAATCTTGCATCTTCACACTGACTTGTATGGATTTTTCACTTTTCACAATAATAATAATAATAATAATAATAATACCTCCTAAATCCTGATTTAGTAGTATAAGATGAAATTTAATGAGAAAATATAGTCCAAAATCATTACTCAAATGACATGCAATATGGTATTCTTTTAAAAGTTCCATGAGACTTGAGATCCATATGACATTCGTTTTTCTCAGAAATCATAACTTTTCACACATTCAAAACATATGGGCGTTTTTTTTTTTTGTTCCATGATATTTGTTCAAATTCAATAATATGATTTGAGGATCCATATGTACAAGTCAAATGACATGCAATATGTATTTTTTTTTTTGTTTTCCACACATTCAAAAGCATTTTCTTCTTCTTTGTACATTTTTATTAGAAGTAAGAGTTGGTCAATAAACCTAGTGTTTCAGAAAGTTATCACTTTGTAGCTCAATTTGTTGACTTGAAAATACATGGTTCACATATCCTTAGTTTCAATGATTTGCTGGGGGCTGGGGCCTAAGAAAATTTGAACCTAGAATATTACTGAATATATATATATATATATATACATATAATAAAAAATATTAATTATAAAAAATATTTCTAAAATATACTTACAGTGTATATTACATCCTCACATATAAAAAATACTTTTAAAATTTCAATTTGGCACAAATAGGTCCTCAGACAAATTTAAATCCTAAATTGACTAAATTATCTTTACTGAACCACTTTATAAAATATATAAAAATAAATAATTTAATAAAATGACAAAAAATGACACTATTGGAGGAGACAATGGACAAGTAAAGATAAAAATATAAAATAAAAATAAAAATAAAGATAAAAATAAAAAATAAAAAACAAAAATAAAGTGCAAACTAAAAAAAACAAATCTGCTTCAAACTCCGAAAATCAGTGCACACTAATATTGAGAATTTTTTTTAACAGTGTTGGTACGAAAAAAAGAAAATAAAAACAGTAAATAGAAATCTCAAAAAATTCAAATCCTTATTCTACAAATTCTCAAAGTTTTTTTTTAAAAAAAAGTTTAGATATATAAATAGAGAAAAATGTTTTTATTTTATTTTAAAAATTATAAGGTAATGTGCACATAACACCCATATATTATGATATTAGTAACATATATACTCTTTAGGCATTTTCAGAAAATTAAAAGGGCAATTGGAGTATAACAACACTAATTTATGTCAGATTTTAATTAAGGAATATTTGTGCACAATATGAAAAAATTAAGGATATTTTTTGCACATTTTTTCAAATAAGTGGTAAAAGTGTTACCCAATTGTCCCATAATAAAAACAATAAATAAAAGGGTACATTGGAAATTTGATTCTATTGGAGGGTAATTACGTCACTTTGAAGGTTGTCGCAGCGGATAACAGTCCATATGGATAGCCCCATCACCAAAATACTGAAGAATTCACTTTCGACATTGGAGCTGATTGATGCTCAGAACCCATTAGCAATGTCGTCTTCAATCACCACTTCTTTCCAAACCAGGTGAGTACTCAATTCCTCATTTCACTATACATATGTATATAAACATATATACAAATGTATTTATGTGTATAGATAAAATATTTTTTTGATATGTATACCGGAGGTATTCCATTATCCGAGTCACAATTAAAACTTTGCTTGAGTTGTACTTGAATCCTTTTTTATGTTTTGCAAGTTTATAAAGATTTTGATTGCCTAGAAGCATGAGATATGGGGCTTTTATGAGATATTCCCGTCCTGGATAAAATTGTTACTGATTGGATATATGAAAAATGGGAAGAAATTTGTGATTGGTATTGGTCAATAAATGTCAAATTTTATTATAATCCATTTATATTGACATTATATATGATACTGAATGTTCTGAGATCTCAGAACTGTGGTATGCTTACCTCTTTTAGCAAAATATTATGTGTTTCTGCTTAATAGATGGATGTATTTTATTGAAGAAGGGTTTTTTTTAGGGTTGAGTTTCTTATGGTGAAAAAATGAAAACGGCTGAGAAATCTTTAAGCGGGTTTGTCTTTGTTGGTTTATTAGGATTATTATTTGTTACAATGGCACAGTTATAAGAAATTATGGCATAGTTGAAAGGTGTATACATGGTGCATTGCATTTTTTCTCTTGACTTCCAGATAGTGTTAGAATAGTCAGGGTCAAGAATTTCATGGGCGTTATCGACTTTCAAGTTTTGACTTCTATAGTCACTGATAGTGGTATAGTAGATGTACACATGGCATAGTTTTTCGATCTAGCATGCTCTCGTATGGCATGGTTTCCATCTATTATTCTCTTTCTGGAGTTAATTACGCCATTACGGATAGAGGAGGACCAAAGTTTATTTGATGATTGTTCTCTAACAAGGGTCTTGTGTCTTGGAAACTAGTGTAGAACTACTAGAAGTGCTATCTTCGTATGACACTGCAAAAGTGATTTATTTTTTCTTTTTTTCCCCCTAGAATTTTGAGATAATTTTTTTCCTTTCATGACAGCAACTTGAGATCTGTTTTCCTGGGCAATAGAAATGGAATCCGTGTTTCCAGTGTTCCTGTCACTCGTGTTGGTTGTATGAGGAAGACTGTGGAATGCAAGGAATCGAGAATTGGGAAACAACCAATTGAAGTTCCAGCAAATGTGACACTCACATTGGAAGGACAGGATTTGAAAGTAAAGGGTCCTCTAGGAGAGCTTTCAATATCTTATCCACGAGAAGTGAAGCTTGAGAGGGAGGACTCAGGGATCCTAAAGGTAAAAAAAGCAGTGGAAACAAGAAGAGCCAACCAAATGCATGGTCTATTCAGGTGCCCTCAAGCTTTATTTTTTGCTTGCCTACCAGTTCTGCAATTTCATATACATATTTTTTTACTCCGTATTTTGTATTTTAGATCTTCTTTAAGATCTTCTACAAAACAACAAAAATTAAGGTTAAGAAATTTTGCAGACAAAACATGGTCATAATTGTATCCATGTAAATATCTGACCTCATTCCCGCAATTGGTCCATTGGTGGTTATATATTTGAAATTTCTAAAGTAATGGTCAAGGCAACATACTCTTTATTAAGTGTAAGTTGGTTGTTGCTTTATATCTTTGTTCTGTTCTGTCAAATTACGCGATTTGTGAAACTTTAAACTGTAACCAAACACTAGAGAACTATAAAATTTCCCATTCAGAATACAGTTCATGCTCACGGAATATTGCTATTCAGTGGAGAACGTTTCCACTTTCTTTCTTCTTTTCCCTCTTTTTTGAGGGTTTCAAATAAGGGTGGGCCGGGTATAGTAGGTCACTTTATCATTGCAACTGAGTTTGCACTGGATTTTTTTATTTTTCATTAGGAAAGAAAGTTGAAGTGTCTGAGGTGGTCTATCTTAATTGTTACCCTATTCATTTGGCACGATTTTTTTTTTTTCTTTCGTTTTTTTTTTTTTTCCCTTAGTTGGTACTCACACACCCATATATGCCTTCACTAAAGGCTTGAACCCCTGACCTTCCTTTGAAAAGTAGGGCTTGATACCGTTGGGCCATTTGCCCGTTGGTTTTTTCTTTTTCTTTCATATTGCACTGATGGAATATTTCAGAAGTTCAGGTGCTTTGTTGAACATAATTCAGGACTCCTGGATCTCTATGATTATATCATTATTAAAGATACACACATACTTTAGTTTTTTTTAAATTGGTCCGTGTGGATATTCTTCAGAGTTTAGACTAACTTTCAATTATGCTCATAACCTCATACTTGTTTGAAATATTCATTTTTATTTTTTAAGACATGCATGAATGTAACAAACAAAAGAAAGAATGAAAGTATAGCAGTTCTTTGTTGTTCCATGATTTGGTATAATTGGTAGTGGGATCTATCTTCTGTCAGCAATGCTTTTCCCCTTCGTACTCTTTTGGGTGGGCTGAAAACCTTGAGGTTCAATGTAGAACTTCTTTTATAATCGATAATAGGAAAAAGTTAAATGCAGAGTCAAGGGGATGAAAGTACTTTACTCATAGAGAATCCACTATAGATGTCTGTAAGAATTGTATGTTGACTCACATACAATGTAAAACTTTCCATTATCACTAATACTAGAGAAGGTTAGATGCAAAATGATGAAAAACCCTTGTCATAGGGTTTTCTACACCCTTTGTTAACCCTCTTGATGTTATTTTTATGCTTAGGACTCTTACTGACAACATGGTGGTGGGTGTATCAAAAGGATTTGAGAAAAGACTCCAACTGATTGGTGTAGGGTACCGTGCAATGCTAGAAGGAAAAGACTTGGTACTGAATCTTGGGTTCTCTCATCCAGTTAGGATGGCAATCCCAGATGGCCTGCAAGTAAAGGTGGAAGACAACACCAGAATTGTTGTAAGCGGATACGATAAATGTTCCATTGGTGAATTTGCTGCGTCGATTAGGAAGTGGAGACCCCCAGAACCTTACAAGGGTAAAGGTGTGAAATATGCTGATGAAATAGTAAGAAGAAAGGAGGGCAAAGCTGGAAAGAAGAAGTAATAGACATTTTTCTTGTGGTTGTTACATTTATTTTGTCCACTCATTCAGATGCACCCTAATTTGCATTGGCAGTATCAGATGTACTGATGACCACAAAGTGTATCAAACTATCAATACATTTAACAGGTAGATCATTTTGTCTATAATTGATTACATTTTTTGGTAAGAGAACATATTAATTGATCAATTAGTATGGTTGACTTTGTTTAAATATATTGCCATATGCTCCCACAGCCTAGGACAGGAAGCACACCTAAGCCTCAAGCTATTAGCCAGTAGCAACTTCAGTTGACTTCTACAAATAAAATGCAATGAACTCAAACCTGGAAATATAGATATTGGACAAGCTTACTGTGTGTGTGTGTGTTTTTATTAATGTTGGCTGCACAAAATGACTACTATTAAACTTAGAATTGAAGATACTTTTATACTCTTGTTATTAATTAGATTATATGGCTTTGGCTCATCATCATCTTGCCAATTTCATTGCCAACACTGATCTTACTAATAAATCATATTGCATGTGAATCCACCAACCATTTGATTATTGATTATGATCATTCACACCCAACCCAGGTAATTATTAGGTGTTGCCCAGTAGGTGTTTGATAAAAGTATAACCAAAGCTAAGCCCTCATAATGCATAACCACCTAAATGGATTCTCAATGGATATGTAATCTGTGTTACTCCAAAGCACAATGATGAACGAGCAGCGTACAGCTTACAGCCATTGGCGACACGGACCAACCACCTCTGTGGGCACAATTAGCAATTTCTCGTCAAAAACATAAGAGGAATCAGATCTTTTCTGAAAGGAGTCTTGAGAAAAATGCAAATCATCCAATTCTAATGTTTTATGAGAATTGGATGCTTCAATCCAAGTCTATAACATCAAGTGTTGCTGTTAAAATATATATATATATATATATATATATATATATAGAACATATTTGCTGAGCATATCAGCATTGAATCCTCCAACTTACAATATTCATGTCTAAAACATAATACAAAAAACTTAAGATTTTTGTACTCAGAATACTGAACCATGCAAGTCCTGAACTTCTAGAGTTTGTTGGTAATAGGACGATACCGAGCTCTATTGAATATCCCACAGTCCAAGTCCACAATTTCAACAATATGAGACCCTCTCTTCCCAGGTTTGCCTCTCTCAGGAGTTGTACCTAAAGAATTGTCCGATGAACCGAGCAAAGGAAAGCGATGAACAGCACGCCTCGCATTGCATCTTCTTCTCTGGGTGCTGCTGCTTCCTGGCCTTGTATGATTAGTATGGCTCATGCTGCCTTTTGTTGTTGCATTGTTAGATGAAATTCTTGTTGCTTGTGACCTTTTAATACTACACACACCACAAGAGACTGAAACTGGGGCAGTTGGGGGTTTTCTTTTACAAGATAAAGAGGTTTTCTGTGATGTGCATTTCATGGAGTCTAGTTCCCGTGTCATGAGGGTGCTGACCGTGCCAGTGGCCCCAACCCTGACGGAGGAGCCTTCAACACCCCTCATGTCTTCCAGGGTGCGAACCATTTTCTATTACTGTTCCAATCAAACATCTGATTAGATTTTTCTCACAAACAAAAATAAAATATATAGAAGATGAGAAACTATAACACGCATATTTAGTACTGTAAGATAGTTTCTGGGTTCCAATTCTTTAAGAACTAGTAACCATTTTATAACCAATAAGCACTCAAAAGCATGAATTTATTAGAAAATAGGTAAGCTATGTTAGTCAGATCACCATGTAAATGGAATTCTAGTGCCAAATATCCAAGCAAACATAGATAGATCACCCAATTTCACAAGCCTTTAACATCAGAGATTTAGTTTTGACAAGTCAATCATCAAAATTGAGGAATTAGAGTGTTAGCCCAAAAAAGTATAAATTGACATGAACCCAGATATCTAATTAGTAAAAATAAGAAATAAAGGGACAATATTTGGTTTTTTTATGTCCCAACAGAAGTCATTAAACCTGTAAGAAGTCGTCAGCTTCAGATGTTTCTTGTAATCTTCAGATTTATATACAGAAAAGTGAGTTAAGATCAAATGAAGAACACAGATGAAACAACAAGAGGGAATGAAAAGAGGGCAGATTGAGTACATACCATAAATGATACCAAACAAAATCGTAATAATGAGGTAACACAATGCTAGAGAATTTGCCAGACTATTATGAAACTCGACGGTGGTTGGAGACTATAAACATGAATCGTTATGCAATTACTGCCCTTTTTATATTAATTCTCTACAATCAGTTACTGTCCTATTGAATTATATATATATATATATATTTTGGTGGGTGGCTTTTATAGTGGCGGAACTGGCGGGCAATTGGGCGATGCATATCAACAGAATCCGACGGACAAGGCAGTCAAATAAATTAAAGAGGATATGCCTAACCCACACTGAAAATGCATCAAATGGAGCCCACTTGGGTCCCACTTAATGCATCACAAAAACCTTGTGATTTGGTCAGTAAATTCAGTTATAAAAATGCACTACACAAATAAGATGCTTTTAGATCACAATTCCTTTAATTTTTAAAAGATCTTACATGATGCCTCCCTCCACTATTAATAATTCAACAGCCTACATAAAACTAGTTCAAATTTTAACGGCAAAAACTTAATACTCCTATACAAGGGACTATTTAAGGAAAAAAATATATATTTATTTCATACTTTTTGTTAAATCCAAAAAAAAGAAAAAAAAAAAAAAAAACAGAAAAAAGAAAAGAGGAGGATATTTCAAGAATCTCATATGGACAATAGTAGCAATTTGAGCAACGATGTGAGGAAAGAGGTAATTTGCAATATTTAGATAAGTTTTTTTGACTTGAAAATTTGTTCAAAACTTAGTCGCAATAAAAGGTTTCGCTTCAAAACACCATGCTGGCCCAAGAACAATGTGGCCTTACTTATGTGCTACAGACCATTTAGCCTTTTAGCCAACTGCCATAAAGAATAAACTTGATGGACAACCCCAATCTTGTGAAGGTAACCCAAACAAAAAATAATAATTTTATATATTAATTGAGGAATGAAAAATTCAGAATTCATCTACCGATTCCAAATATATATGCCATCATCAAACACCAAATAAGCAGAGATATTAACATGTGGATCACAGTCAATACACCAAACTGGTAAATTTCTTCAGTAGAATTGCCTCTAAAGTAATGGGCAATGGAAAATAGAACAAAATGCAACTAACATACACAGTTCTCAAAGCAACGCCACTAAAAATTACAACCACTGTACTCAATAAGCTACAATGACTATAACCAAAACCTTACAAAGAGATATCCACATTTATTTATACTTCTATACCATCATATCCATCCATCCCTGTTCACCAACCTCTTTACCCTTCCTATACCTGAAATATCAGAACCATAAAACTGTAGAGTATCAAGTAGAGATATAGTAAAACACTGGTTTCAAGTTCCGCAGTTCAACCAATTAAACTAGTTTCCTTGATTAAAAATTACATACATACATACATACATATACATACATACATACATATATATATATGTATATGTATATGACCCTAATTCAGATACAATCATACAACAGTTATACGAGTGATATAGCATATCCACAAGCTAAGCATATAAATTAGTAATTGGAAATACAATCATACAAAAGTTATCTGAACAATGATGAAAACTAGCCATACCTAAGAGCTGGCTTCTTGTTCAACCTCGTCGTGGACATCAGAGCATGACTTCTCAGATTCCTCTGGCTTTTCTTCTCCATTCACACACTAATAATTCAGAAGAAAAGAAAAAAGAAACAGAGAATCATAATCAGTACCAGTGTATCACAGGTTGGAGAAACATAAATTGAAATAAAATGATGAGGAATGAAGAAATAAGATAGTGATAAAAGTATTTACGGATTTCTTGTACTCCTCCATAGCTTTATCATACTCTGCCTTCTTCTTGGCAGCCTTTGCAATGTGAGGAGCTTTCTCCTAAACACAACGTGAAGTTACAGTTACTCAGAGTATTGATTTGAAGAAATGCAGCAAAAACAGAGAAATCAGTTTCTGAAGACTATCAACGGAAAAGAAAACGTTTAACATTTTCATTGAAACTGACTCGTCGCCTCTGCGTGAAGTAACTTGAAATTGAAATAGATCGTTCTGACTCAGAGAACTTGTTTTTCGTGATTCTGTTCACGATTTTGCAATGCAATTGCTTTAATTAAATCTAAAACTACATGATCTTACAGAGTCGGTCATGGATTTCCATTTCAAACCACCAGCTTTTCCAACCTGAAAAGCACAGATCCAGGAATCAATTCACTAACAGTGGACAGGACACTTCCGCTTTGCTAGCTAAGAAATACATGGAAAAAGTTCCAAATCCTTCTTGTGATAAAAACTATAGCAAGTCCAGGAAAAAAAAAATTCTATTAAACAGTCATACTGATTCTAAGCAACAGAGACTAGTTTCGAGTTTTCAACATTTTCGAGAGCAAAACAATAAAAAATGTTAGTTGCTAGATCTTTTCTTTTCTTTCCTCCGTTTCTCAGTAACCAAACGAAAAACATATAAAAGAATTCAATAATCGAATGCAGCAAAATGATCAACTGAGACTGATGAATCGAAATTCAATACTCACAGCTGGAAGCGATTTGTTGTCAGGAAAATTCTCTTTGAATGACTTCCTGAAATCCTCCCTAAATTCAACATCAACAGACAAAAATCAGTATACAAAACAACCAAACAACATCAATAGCATCTCATACGAAACGTGAATTAATCACTAAAAGCAATCTCACATGAAGACGAGGAAAGCACTGGCAGGACGCTTCGGAGCACCAGAGTTCTTCTTGCTCGCTTTCTCCTTCTTCGTGGTTGAATCAGCCTTACGTTTCTTCATTATCCTTCATAACACAAATCAAAACAGACAACAAAAACACAAATCGCAGTTCAAACTTCAAAGCACATCCGAGAAATGAAGCAAAACGGAAACAAAAAACCGGTAGAAACGCAATCAGAACACAGATCGTACTCTCCATCAAGCTTCTTGTTAGCAACAGAGGCTGTTTTCAGTCCTTTCATGGCGTCTTCTGGAACCGAGACTCGAGATCAAGAGAGAGAGAGTGAATAACTAGAGCGAGAGAGAGAGAGCTTCAAAATTTCAAACTCAGCAAGCGTTGAGATATGAGAGATGAGCGACGAGTACAGGGTATTTATAGAAGAACAGTACATGCCGTACTTAAACGAAATGAAATGAAATTGAAATTTAGATGCTAATTTGGTTTTGGCGGGAAGGAGCAATGGAAGCCTGGAAGGCATGGTGGTTACTGAGGGAGATCCACGATAAACGTACCCGTCGTAGTGGAATGACTCGCCAGGTAGTGATGACACGTATTGAATTAAATGGCGCGGCTAATGCTGACTTGCTAGGAGAGTGTGTTTTTACTCTCCATCTGCGAGTATGATATATATATATATATAATACGGAGTATACGCCATTCTGAAACTGTCTGTTACTCCGTGAACTTGATCGTGGTTAACGTGCAAAGGGTGATGGAAAATGGCTCCTACTTGGTTAAATGACCACTAATAGCCTTCGCCCATTTGTCCTCTCAATTAAATGCAGTGGCTTTTAGGCTTTTTAGCATGTAAAATAGGAAATTTTATTGGATACTTAAAATAATTTTTCTATTCCAACATTAACTTTTTATAAATGCAACAAAATAAAAAAAAAAATTAATATTGAGAGCACTGAATTGATGTTTTAGATATGAAATTAGAGAAAATTTTGTTCAAAGTTTGAATAAAGGCTTAGTTTGGATGGAGAGAAAAGAAAGGAATTGAAAGGAGATGGTTTTTTGTGTTTGGTTGAAAATTTTGGAAGCAAGAGAAAGGGACTAGAAAGATTTGTAGGATTACAATAAATAAATTTGTTAAAATAGTTTTCTTCCCCTAAACAAAATTACTATTCTTTCTTTTCTTAGCTAACCAAGCTGGACAAGTGGTTCACACGGTCCTCTCCTTTCCTTTCTTTTTCTTTCTTTTCTTTTTGTTTCCACTGTATCAAATATAGTCTAAATTTCTTTCGGTTCTAAATTCAAACAGTCGATTTGACACTCCCTAACATAACTTAAGGGTAAATTCCACTTATCTTCGTTGAGGTTTATTAATATCTTACATAAATTCTTTTAGGTGTCATGATATGTTAGCATTATTAATGTACTTCAGATTTATTATACAAAACAATTTTACATAATTTTCAAAAAATTTAAAGCCAAACAAAATTTTTATCATACTTTAGGAGCTCAAATCCAAGACATTCTTAGTATTGGTGCTTGTATTTGAACATTATACTATTATTACATAGTTAGTTAAGAAAATAGATGTCATTTTATTGACTTAGTACTGTTCCATTAATTATATACTACCGGTTATTTTCAGCTAGCATGGTATATACTAGTGTTGCTCGTGCTTGTTCATTAATAGGAGTATAATAAAGTTATTCAAATTTCTACAGAATTAAGCTTGTACATGCTCGTCAATAAATCCCAAATTAAGTTAAAAAATAAACAAGACTAGTGCTTGATAAAAGTCAAGTAACTTATTCAATCTCATGCCATAATCTTGTCAATAACTCATATTTGTATATTTATATATGTGTGCATTTATTTTAAAACTGACAAATATAGGATATGTTTGGCAATCATATTTCATATTTTTTGGCTTATGCTGGTGGTGTGAATCAAAATTTGTTGCGATTTGAGCATTACCGGAGCGCTTTCGAAAAGAGATCAAAATCAGAAGCACCAAATTGATTTTTCCAGTTACTTCCGTATAGTAACAAAGTACTGTTGAAAAAAAAAAAACTCTAAAATTACATTTTTAATTTAATTTTTCAAAATAAATATATTTTATCAAAACCATACTCCCAAATTATATTAAATACACTTGAACACAAAAACATTGTTTCTGCTCTAAACCAAAGCAAAAACACAAAGAAACTTTGGTTGCAAACTAGCCATAGTATTAGTAGTATGTTGATAGTCATCATTCTTATTTTGGCATGTGCATGTTTATGAGTGTGTGTGTGAGAGAGAGAAATAGCAATTGTAGCTCAAGATTTCCAACTCTATTTTTCCACTTATCCAGCTTAAACATAGTTTTCTTTGTCCGTCACATTTAATTCTAAACAAAAAGGCCCACACAAATAGGTTTTCGAAGGATTTTCCTCCTCCAATGCCATAGTGCTCGCTTATTTATCAAAAAAAAATAAAAAAATCTTTTGTTATATAATACATAGTGCTCGTTTATTCTTACGGAGACTTGACCGTTCCACCTTTTGTTCCCAAGGCCACCAATGATCCGTTGTTTCAATCACATTCCAGAGTTATTGTACAGCAGAGGATCTTGGTTCCGTTGGCATGTCCATGATTAATGCAGGCATACTTTCGCCCATGGAAGCTTTCTTTTAGCCCTCCAAAAGCGGCTTTTTCTTGTCATCATCCCACTTATTCAACCTCTTCTTAGCTTCTTCCACCTGCAATTCAATTTATGTGATATTTAGTTAACAAGAATTAAACAGATTAAGGTAATTACTAGGATAATTAATGTTCTACTCTAATAGTAGTTATTTGGGGGGCCGGTATGAAGCACAGACTATAATTTTTCACCATCTTAATACCAGTGGGATAAAATTTCTCTCTGGTACACCATATTGTTGGTGCATGAGACAATTAGAAATTTAGAATCAACCTAACTAGCAATGTACTAATGCTATGTTTGGGAGCTCTGAATCTGTAGTTTGGATTTGGAATTCCGATTTCGGTACTCCCAAACGGAACATGAATAAAAAAATTAATCCAGATAAACGAGAAAAACAATAATAATATTAACAACTAGACGAACTCACCTCTTTGTTCCAATCTGTCCGATAAGTTGCCCATATCAATATGAGGGTCTGCATCAGTGTGCCGCCTATCATCCCCGACCATATTCCCTGCAAGCAACACAAACAATTAGTCCTACTATAATTTATTATTACTATTATTATTAATTTTTCATGTGAGACCCACCACACTGTGGGGTTTCATGAGTGGTCGACCTGGCCAAATTGGCTTAGCAAAATCACAAATTGACCATATCTATATGTACTTGGATTTAGTTGAGTTACCTTAGTACCGAGATTGAAGTAGAAACCAAGTAATGCACCCAATGGGACGCCAACCACATAGTAACAGCCCACGTTCACGTATGCAACAAAAGCTTGCCATCCGCATCCAACCGCCACACCTTCATGGTCAACATATACAACACATCAAGCCAAGAAATGTACTCCAATCCATACACATTCATATGCAAATGCGAGAGTACGTTTTTGAGTTATGAAATTGGATTAGAAATTCAAATGAAGTTCATATTAGACTTTGGTTGGATTAATAATCACAGATTGGGTAGGGATTAGTTGTCATCCCCCATGAAAATTAGTGTCCAAACTCATGAAAATTTGAACTAGGTTCCGCCTAAGCTGCAACCATGTAAATAAACACCTCAATTAGTATTTTGTAAGCAATGCATACCGGACAAGACGGGTTGGATTCCATTGAGAATGAGAGTAATGCTTAGAAGTGGACAGAGATCGGAGACAGCTTTAGCCACGACTTCACCTTCTGTGAAGGCATAGCTGATTACATCGCGCAGTGAGAGCACAGTTATTGCCGCGATCACAGAGACGATAAAAGAGATCAAATTCACCGCTACCACAGAAAATGCAGCTGACTTTGGATGTCCAGCTCCAAGCTCATTGCTCACTCTCACGCTGCAATTCGAATCAGCAACAAATTAAAGTCACAGTAATATATAATTTTAGGGACAATATTAATCGATCCATCTTGGATATATGTCCCACTTTTTCAAGGTAGTGAGTATTGTATTCACAAAACCATGTTGTTTTGATACATATCTGTAGGGAAGATAAAAAAATAAAAAAAATTGACTTGAAATCACTTAAAAAGAAACTACAATATATGGTCATATTGAATTCAATATGTCATGATCAATATATCATTTTACAAGATTTCTATATGTGAAGCACTTTCGCGGAAAAATAAATAAAGAGAAGAAAAGAAAAAAAACTGACCTTGCAGCTGCATTGAACCCAACTGAGATCATAAATACCCATCCCGAAATAGTATTGCTGCAATTATAAGCAACCATGAAATTAACATCAATTAGAAAATATTAAGAAGGACATCATTTGTAATCACTTGTCGCTTGTTGTAATGTAAGTAATGCTGCTCTATATGTTTGGGAGTACCAAATTAACGACTTGAATTTAAAATTGAAAAAAAATTAATTTAAATTCAATTTCCATTCTAATTCAAAAGCGCCAATTCCAAACAAAACATAAACGTTTTCATGACAAACAAAAGTTAGACCACATCAAGCAACAAATCCATCTATTTTAATATGATTTTCAGAGAAGTAAACAAAAAAGAAAAATCTAATATCCTTTGTAATACTGACTTTTGAAATGTAAAACAGATGCCATTAAATATAATTTCACACAAAATAGCCGTACTCAAGACATTTTTTTTTTTTTTTTGAAAGGTAGTAGTACTCTTACTTGAAATCAATCAACCTGAATTTTGTTTTCATTAATTACAGTTAAATTTTGAATTATTCTAAAATAAATAAATAAATAAAAGCCAAGAAATTAATTCCATTTTTCTTACCAAATAGCAATGGAATCCAAAGCGACCTCAGGATTCTCGAGCAAACCAGCCAGCAAGACCAGAATCTGAAAGTACCACGTCTCCAAGCACAGCATCACAGCCGATGCAGCCGACAATTTAAAGAAGCTCCAAAGCCCAGAGAAGGCCTGTACACTAAACCCAGTCCATGTATACTTACACTTCTCGCTCTTCACTATATATACAAACTGGCCCACCACAACAACCCACCACGACAAGCTCAACACCAGTGATGAGCCCAACAACCCAAGCCCAATCTTGTACACCACAAGCCAACTCAATAGGAGATGTAGAACTATTGTGGCAGCTGATATGTATGCACTTGGTGCCACTATGCTCTGAGCTTGTAGAAATTTCTGTATCGGGAAGTTTATGGCATATGCGAATAATTGGGGAATGAGGCCGTAGATGTACAAGGCCGAGGCCGATGCAATGTCCGGTGCCTGGCCAATTAATATCAAGAGGGGCTTGGAGAAAATGTAGAGCAAAGTTAGTAGGACACCAGTTGCAGTTAGGAGGATTGTTGATCTTTGGAGATAAATGCCTAGCATTTCCTTTCTGTGGGCTCCATATGCCTGTCCACATAGAGTCTCCACTGCACTTCCCATACCTAGCTGTTGATCATAATGCAAAAGTTAAAACAAGCTATGCAATTTTACTTTTTGCATAAAAAGGTAAGTTTTTAGTTTCAAATCACGTGACATCGTGTTACTTTACTGTGTTTATTGATTTCTATCAATTGCTAGTTAACCTGATTTGTTTAAATATAAAATTGACATATTTATTTGCATGTCAACTAGTGATGGACATTTTTAGTTTTAAATCACGTGACATCATGTTACTTTACTCTGTTCATTGGTTTCGATCCATCACTAATTAACCTGATTTGTTTTAACACAAAATTAACACATTTATTTGCATGTCAACTAGTGATCGACCCAAAACCAATTGTTCATAACCATATAATAGTTTCTCAAGACCCAACCTAACATATGGATGTACGAAACTATAATTTTGCCAAAGAAACCATGTAATACTCTGTGCTGCTGTTTTTGTTAAAATGGAGCTACAGACCTCTTTCTTATATACAGACAACGTATACAGATTTACAGATCCATCTAAAGTCAACGTAAAGGATGTTTTGTCAGAACTTTCAATCTATAATATATATACATATATAATAATAATAGTATGATTTTAGTGGATCTACAGAGTGACAAATATAATAAACTTCTATAATGTCGATCTTTAAATAATGGTCTGTTTCTTTTTTAATGATTTTTCATTCAATTCAAGAACTGTGTCCCTGACATGCAATGATAATAATTTAGCACAAAATAAAATAGTCCACAAATTCAAAGTTTTTCATCGATTAATGCAAACATGTATTTTTACATTGAAAACAGCAATTGAACTTTGTTATTTTGGCAACCTTTGGGTACATATTAAATTCCCGACAAAAAAAATAAAAATAAAAATAAATAACTTTTGACATGCAATGACAATAATATAGCACAAAATAAAATAGTCCACAAATTCAAAGTTTTTCATCGATTAATGCAAACATGTACTTTTACATTGAAAACAGCAATTGAACTTTGTTATTTTGGCAACCTTTGGGTACATATTAAATTCCCGACAAAAAAAATAAAAATAAAAAAAAATAACTTTTGGGTGCATATAACCTGCATGGCATTAATGTTTATTCTCATTGATGGTATCTAAAAATAAAGTGAGTTATAGTCCCAAACTAAAGTTACTTTACTGTTATTAGAAATTATTACATGATTTTGGAATTAAAGTGCAAGTAAATGTTTGACTCAAAATTGATACATTTGCGTGCATGTCTAGTGACCCAAGATCGAAGATTTAGGAACATATAATAATTTCTCTAAGAGCCTGGTTGTGGCCCCAATCCTGCTGCTGTTTCTCTGGACAGCCTGAGGATGAGGACGATAAGCTTACATATCCATACATTTTTTTTTTTTTTTTTTACTTCAGGAAATTCGTACACATACAGAGTAGACAATTTAAATAAATGTGTGCAAATACTTGTACAGGCTAAGAGATGAGATAGAGAGAGAGTAAGAAATACCATGAGACCGTAAGCGAAGACTTGGACGCCATTGTTGCCGAGGGAGGAGGCGGCGAGCTCAAGATTTCCGAGGTGGCCGGCGAAGATCTGAGTGGACATGGACATGAGATAGTTAATCATGTAAACGATGACAGCAGGGGCAGCGAGGTGGAAGAGGAACTTGATTTCGATCCATACGGCCGGTCGGAGACGCTGCAAGTACGGTAAGGTTGTGTCGGAGAGTATGCTCTCTAGCTGATTGCTTGATTCGATGTTTCTCTCTGATGAATGGGCAGATAGAGGTGGTGGGTTGTTTTCTAGTATTGGTTGATAATCACCTTCTTTTAGAGGAGGCATTTTAGATGGTTGTGGAAATCAGTTGCTAGCGAGTGGTTGCGGTGGTGGTAGTGATGCCAGCTGAGGCGGTGGCGGAGATGGTTGTGGAAATGAAAGTTCTCTCACTTATGAGAGAAACTCAACAATGTAGCTATTTAAAGAGGCATTTGTGGATGGTACTTGAATAACTTTAATATATAAATACGAATTCGTCCCGTGTCATTTTGCTGTGGATGTCGGTATTTTTTAATTTATTTTTTAATATATTATATATTGAATTTAAAAATCTCTCACTTGCCGTGTAACATTTTTATTTTGCGTTGCTCCATCATTATTTGATTGAATGAGAATAAAAATGACGTGGCATTCAACGTTTTTAATTTTACTCAATAGTATTAGTAGGATTGGTAATGAGCCTTGATGTACAAAAGTCCAAATTGGTTTGTTGTGTAAAAGTTTAAGATGGTTGAGTAGTTGGCATTACTTTTCCACATATTAAATTGCACGTGGCCGTTTAATCAATTATCCGCGGAAGGAAAAAGTGTACGTGTTTAATCAATTATCTGCCGAAGCTTCTCGAATTGAATTCTTTTTTGTTACGCTAATGTATACTCCGTATAAATTACAAATTTGTCATAATTACATAATCTCTTTTATAATTTTTACAATTACTTTAACTTTTCTTGATTAGCAAAGCTAATGATACAAATCTCCCTTTTTAACGCTCTACATTATTTAATGACTGAAATTGTTGATGCCACATTCGTAATATGTGTAGAATTCCAATATTACCCTTTACTGATGTGAAAAACCTTTTAAAGTAATGTGCAATTACAAAAGAACCTTCACCTTTCCTAACAGAGTGTAACAAGTGGGCGTTTGTCATTTATCCAAAAGTTTAAACTATTAAATAGTGTTGCATACCCACCCATTTATACCCTCTTTAGCCCCATCCAAATTTGATGTGAGACAAGTTCCACTTGTAACATTCTCCCTCATCCGAACTCGCGCAACGCCCTAGTTATGGTCGGACTACCCTGTCTACCAGGGGACAGACCCGGAGGCACTCCGGGCCAGACGCTTGGCGTAACACCGGATTAGGGACTGGGTCTGAGTCTGACACCAACTGTAATGGGTGGGTGCTTGCCCATTTACACAAAAACTCGAACTTTGAGTAGTGCTACATATCCACCCATTTATGCCCCCTTCAACCCCCATCCAAATCCGATGTGGGACAAGTTCCACTTGTAACGTAAAGCCTTTACATGGTCTTTGCACATCCATGACACTCACTTTACTGATTCTCTCAAGTTCTTTAATGCAGTGATCTTAAAAGTTCAGGAGGAAGAAGAAAATCGTGTGTTCAAAGTCCACGGTGGTATTTGGGATTCAATTAGGGCTTGATTTGCCAAGGATTTGCGATCCATTAACAAATTCCTTGAATTATAGGTTTAATTTATAGAGAAACCCTAGCCATCAGCATCTGTTTTCAACTAAGCTTAAAAAAATAATAAAAAAATAAAAAGAAAGAAAAAGAAAAGATAGAGAAATGCTTGGAAGATTTTGAAATTGATGAGCTCCGATATCTCATCGGAATAAGATCGTCAAAATATTGAAAGGCTGAAAGAGACATTGGGGAGAGATAGTGTAAAAAAAAAAAATCTCTCTAATATAGGTTTTTTGCACAAATAGTCCATTCTTTTTGAAAATGTGCATTTTAATCCATAAAATTCGTAAAAATGTACAAATAAACATCTCGGACCACTTTTTGGTCAAAATTGACATAAAGTAAATTTAAAAACCCTAATTTGCCCTTTTCTCTTCTTATTCTACCTTTTTCTAAGGGACTGCTTCTCTCCTACACCCCTCACCACATTACAGCCATAACCACCATCCCTAACCCCACCACCACCGTCACCGCCGCCTGCAACCCTGGTGGATAAACAGACGCCATCAGATAAGTCACCGCCACAGGATATGTCACTGCTGGTGCAGCAAATTTTTCACCCAACTTGTAAAAGAATTTCAGATTGCCTTTGATTTTACCGGAGAGCTTTCGTACCTAATACTCCACGGTGCATTCAGCGGAGGTATAAGTCAGCGCCTCTAACGATGATTGTGCCGGTAGTGGATTTGTTGATTACCTGTAAACGAAGCCGGCGAGATTATAAAGCTTTGGCGACCATGGCTTAGAAATCATTTCAGGCTTATAGTTGCCAACATTGAAAAAGATGGGGAAGGGAGTGCAGCAGGTTATGGTTGCCAACGGTGAAGGGTATCAGCCACCAGAGATCAGAGTGATAAGCACGTGCAGCGCGTGTATACGTGTTAGATCTACGCACAAAAATGTTGAGACTGGTTAGGTCAATGCAATGACAACCACGGTACCGTTTTGCCAGAAGATGAAAATGGTAAAGCCAATGATGACCGAGATTTGTGAGATGATGGAAACGTGTGTTCCTGAAATGCAGATGACGAAGATGAAGCAAGTGAAAAGGCTTCTTCAGTGACGAGGACGATCGTCGTTGAGATGAGGATGGTGGATGTCTGTCGCGGGTTGACTGGTTGGTGTGGCTATCCAGCGCGGTAGTGACGATCGGAGCACCTCCATTGAGATGGAAAGATGGAGGAGATGCGGCGGATAATAAAAAAAAATGGGTTTAGGCTGTGGCTTTAGGCTCTGCTCTGGACACAGTGAAACGGAGGGAATTGTTTAAAATGGTAATTTTACATTGCCTGATTTTTTTAATATTATTTTATTTTATTGACAAAAGGGTATTAATGTCTTTTTATGCAAATAGAGGGGTAATTACACCAAATTGATAATATATGGGGGTTTTATACTACATATGGACTTTTTTACTATAACATTTATGGCATGTTATATATATATATATATATATATATATATATATATATATATATATAATGTTGATTAAATTATACATTTTGTAAAAGTTGGTGGACCCACTCTTGTCAATTACTATCACATGTGACAAAAAGGCATTTATAAACCCATCTTTTTTCCTTAACCAGTTTTCTCTCTCGGCAGTTCTCTCTCCCGCTGCTTGTTTTCTTTTTTTCTTTTACAACCTTCAACTTTTGATTAGTCCCTCATCTCTTAGTGTTTTTAAGTGCCATTTGAGGCAAAATGAAGCCCGCAACGAGCTCTACGCGGTTGTACCAACAATTTCAGTGTTGGTGCTCATTTGTGCATTCGAGTTTAGAGACCCACTTTCAAGAGTTTCGTTCAATTTAGAGGTAGGGGCTCTTAATCAATGTTTTTCTTGCTCTATTGTGAATTATATCTCTCTTGTTATGACAAACATGTTTAATTTGGAACTTAATTGTTTCAATGATTATATAAATAATGTTTAGGAAAATTTATGATTATGAATATGAGTAGAAAAGCATGCTTAGAGGTTGTCTTGTTGTGTTTAATGTGTTAATAATTCATTTAGAGATGTTAAACATGATGTATGCTTAATTTTGTGGTGTAAAATTTTGTGTTGTCTTGTTGTGTTTAATGTGTTGATATTTCATTTAGAGATGTTAAATATGATGTATGATTAATTGTGTGGTGTAAAATTCTAAATGCCATAATATTGAAAGCATGGGACATGTATACATGTACATACCATTGTGTTTGCATGAAAATGGGAGAATTTGCTTGAAACAAAAAGGGAAATTTTGGGAAAAGAGTTTTTACGAAATGGTTTTATGAAAACCCGGTCGCCGCGGGGTTACCAAAGGGTCGGAGTGTTAATATAGCCTAGAGGGGACTAGAGAGTCGCCTTAGTGTGGTTGAGCTAGCTGGGCCCTATAATGACGCCGCGGGGGTACCAAGGGTCAGGAACACTAGCCAATCCTCCTCTCGTGCCACTACTAAGTCACCAAAGGGCGGGTTGTATTAACAGTTTGAAAGTGATGGTTTTGAAATGTGAAAATGGGGAGCGACATCGGTATGCATTTGCATTCCATGGCATTGCATTGCTTGCAATTAAGTTTGGTTGAAATGTTGTATTATCCCAACATTGTATGATCCCCATTCCTATTGATCTATTCTTTGTATGGATTCACATAGACACAAGATGCGTGTCTTAAGTGCTACCTACTGAGCTTTATGCTCACCCTATTATTTAATAATTTTTTTTAGAAAACGGGAAAGAAGTGGCGGATGACTTTCCACCACAGGCCTAATTTGGATTAGAAGACTTCTTTTTGCTATTTTTGTATTAAGTCCCATATTTTTGTAAAATCTTAGTTTGTTATATTTGGTATAGAGATTTGTGAACTCTTGTTATTGTAACTATATTTTGGGACTGTAATTATGATAATTTGGATTAAACGGTATGTAAATGTTCTACCATGAAATGAGCCATGTTGAGGTATAATGAACGGATGGATGAGATGTTGGAGTATATTAATTTTATTATGTATTGGAACAGGTTGGAGATGTTTTGAAAGGCTAGGAAGGGCCATTGCATTTTTTTTATTTTTTTTATTTGAGCAGGTGGTTGTAATTCCTTTTTTAGGGGAGATCATGCCAAATTTTTTTTTTTTTTTTAAAAAAAAAAAAAAAAAACAAAAAAAAGGTATCAGTTTAGGGTCGTTACATTTATACTATATCGATAGTAAAGGGAAGTTTTTTACACTTAACCCCAGAAAAAGTGAAAGAAGAGAAACCGCATTTGATGGACAAAAGGGTTTTTATACCCTTTCACTGAGTTTCACTAAAGTGCACAATAACACACAATATGGCATGAGTAGTTCAGTCATTTCCCAACGCCACTTGAGGATAGTTTAATAAATTACACAATTTTGTTTGGTCATTTGACTGTTCGTCACTTGAAGGGGAGATCCGTGTAACAACGCTTCGTTTCTAGGAGTGGTTCGTGTAATTTTAAAAAAGATAGGGGAGGTCCGTGTAATTTTGAAAAAGATAAAAGAAATCTATGTAATTTATGAGAACACACCGGAAAGGTTTGTGTAATTTACCTATATATAAATAGTCCATTCTTCCTTTTTGAAATTGAACTTTCTAGAAAGAAGATAATCTTGATATTTTTTTATTTTTATTTTTATTTAGAGTAATGATATAAGGTTCGAGAGTCGAACACATCCAATTAAAATTATGTTAGTTTGGAAATATCATAAAACAATCGGATAAATTTGAGTTTCGAATTGCTTATTATAATTCTTTAATTATAGTGACAGAAAATAAATTTTAAATATACCATTATATAATGAGTCTACATAAACTTTAACTGTTTTTATAACTCAGAGATAAGAAGAATAAAATAAGAATGTTAAAAAAGAAAAGTATATTAAATTTGAAATGCAAACAATTATTTTAAAATAATTAAAAATATAAATATAAATATTTATTATGAGACGAATGAAATATATATTTTGTCCAATTATGTCGGAGTATTTTAAAGCATTTCAAACATCAACACATACAGTTCTTCCGTGGTATGAACCCAACAATTATTAAAAATAATTTGAACAAGTTGTAAGGCAAGAACTTTTGTCATTGTAGTATCCCTTGTAATTTTGTGTTAAGCATGTCCCACGATTTGGAAAAAGAGAATTCAATCCACACTTTTTGTTCAAAGGTGGATGATGAATATTGTAAAGTGGATTTCAATTATTGGTTTTGAGTATGCAAATTTGACACGTTTGTTTAACTTTAATTAATTACTAATAGTATGTTAGACGAAGCCGTGTGTTTGTGAACTCATGTACTGACCACCGGGGTTTCAAATGATGGGTGTGTCACAGAGGTGGGTCCACCTCATGAATTAAATGACAAAAATGAGTCCACTAACTTTTAATGTAGCAGATTTAAATTAATGTACTTCTGAGCAGTGTGCTGATTGCCTGTGGGGGTGCCGTATTTACTCAAGGTGGAAAATTGTCAGTGTGTCTGATTGGTGCAAAGGCTCTTCCTAATCTCTATCTGTAGGTCATTTGCATCAGTCTCGCCGAATTTTAACTTTTTAAAAATGCTACATCAACTTTTTTTTTTTTTTTTTTAAATTACATCAGTAATTTTAAAAGTTAAGTCGATATTTTTCGCTCTCCAAAAATATGCATTTTATCAGACTCTCCGAATTTTCGCTCTTAAAAAAATAATAATAATAAATTAAAATTATTATTATTATTTTTTAACTTTTTCGAAACGATTATATTTTCTCCACGGCAATATTTTTCAATCAAACAATATTTTTGTAAATTATTAAAAAAACTACGATTAATATTAGAACTTGAAACAATACATTATCCATTATGAATTATAAAAAAAAAAAAAAAAACAAATTAAACAGAATAATTAAAAATAACTTAAACAATACAATATTCTAAATTGGAATAAAAAAATAAATAGACCAAGAATTACAAAATCCTATGAAAACTTTGGAGCAGACCAAGGATTACAAAAAGATTTAATAAAAAACCAAAATTTAAGGGAAAAAAAAAGGTAAAATTTGAATTTTAAATTTTTTTTTTAAAATTATAGCCGTTAAAGCACTGTTTGGTACTGTAAAAATAGTGCCTTAACGGCCAAATACACTATTTGGCCTACACATTTAAAATTTAAAGCAAAAAAAATAAAAAAAATAAAAACAAATTTTAAGGGAAAAAAAATAGGTTTTTTAATTTATTTTTGGCCCAAAATTTTTTTTTTTTTTGGACAAACAATGCCTAAACAATATATTTTTTATTTAATGAATTTTATTTTATTTTATTCCCAAAAAAAAAGCTCTAAATAACCTATTTTTAGGTTTTTTTTAAATAAAAAAAAAATTCTGCAAGGCACTATTTGGCTACTGTACAGCACTGTTTGGTTAAAAAAACAAAACTGCCTAATGCAAAATGGAGCCGTTTTGCATTAGGAAAAGAAAAAAAAAATCAGCGATTGCGGGCCGGCTCGCGGTATTAATGGGCCGGCTCGCGGTATTAGAGGGCCTACAGTGCTGAAGCTCACTGGATTTGGGCTACAGCTAGCCCGCTGCAGATGGCCTTATATATATGTGTGTGTGTGTGTGTGTGTGTATTGGGAAGTAAGAAAAAATATAAATTAATATATTAGTAACTCACTGTAATTTACTTGTGCTGTGTTTGGTGTGCAAGAATGAAATATAAATGAGAATAGAATATAATGCAAGTGAAAATAGAATGACCATTCTTATTCTATTGTTTGGTAATAAATATGAAATATGTAAAAATGAAAAGATAATAACCATTTTAGTGTTTGGTTGGACCAATTTAAAATTTAGAATGTAATAAATTTCAAATTAAATTATCCAAAATATCCTTCTTAGTAATAAATAAATTAAATTAATTAAAATATATATTTTAAAATAAATGGTGGCAGTGGCGGTGGTGGATGGTGGTGACAATAATGATGGAGGTGAAAAGCAGTAGTGGTGTAAGAAGGCAGTGGTGGAAGCCAATGGAGGTGACTGTGGTGGTGGTGGAAGATAATGGAGGTGGCGGTAGTGGTAGTGGTGGAAGGGTGTGGCAATGGCGATGATGGAAGGCGGTGGAAGGCGATTGCGGTGGTGGTGGTGGTGGAAGGCAATGGAGGTGGTGACGGCGGTGGAAGGCGGTGGTGGTGGAAGGCAGTGGCGATGGAAGGCGGTAGAGGGGTAGTGGGGGTGAAAGGCGGTAGTGGTGGTGAAAGACGGTGGCTGGTTGTGGAAAGTGGTACATGTGGTGAGCGGCGGCGGCGGTAGTGGTGGAAGGTGATAACGGTGGTAGTGGTGGGGGTAGTGAAAAGTGATGATGATGGTGGTAGTGGTGGCAGTGGTAAAAGGCGATGACGGTTGTAGTGGTGGAAGGTGGTGGCAGTAGTAAAAGGTGATAACGGTGGCTGGTGGTGGAAAGCAGTGCATGTGGTGAGCGGCGGTGGTGGTGGAAAGTGGTGGCGGTGGTGGAAGGTGATAACGGTGGTAGTGGTGGGGGTGGTGAAAAGTGATGATGATGGTGGTAGTGGTGGCAGTGGTAAAAGGCGATGACGGTGGTAGTGGTGGAAGGTGGTGGCAGTGGTAAAAGGTGATGACGGTGGTGGTCGTGGAAGACAGTAGTGGTGGTGAAAGGCATTGGCAGTAGTGGTGGTGAAAGGCGGTGGCGGCGGTTGCGGCAAGGCGGTGTCAGTGGTGAAAGGTGGTGGTGGAAAGCGGTGGGCAATGGTGAAAGTCAGTGGCGGCGGCTGCAGTGGAAAGCAGTGGTAGTGGTAGTTTTTGAATTTGGAACATGAGGGTTTTTTGGGAAGTTGATTTTTTTAAATAAATTAACTTGGGAATGGAATGGTTATTTCATATGTTTAGTTATGGAATGGATTTTCATTTCAATGGAATGGTCATTCTCACTTTTAATTGCATACCAAATAAAGAAATGGTTGGAATGGGCATTCAATTACATTCCATTTCATTCCTGTACAGCAAACACTACATTAGTGGATAGTTAGATTCCACTTTCATTACATAGAAAAAACATTTTTACATCATATTAATAAAATGTCGGTTTAATTGAAAATTAGATTCCTCTTTCATTACATAGAAAAAACATCGTTACATGGCATTAACAAAAGTTATAAAAAGATAACCGTCATACATATTCACTCACATGGAGATAACAATTATACATATGCACTCACAGGGAGATAACAATCATACATATCTACTCATAATACAATATTTTATATGGTTCACCAATTTTTAAGGTTACGCTTATGAATAGAAATTTCTAACCAGTATGAATCAAAAAAAAAAAAAATGTGCAATCAGATATCAAAATTTCACTCACTTGTTGATTAAGACTACATCTCTAAATTCAACTCTCCAATTTCTTCGTAACACTCACCCTTAAACCCGTGACATCTTTCTTTTTTCTTTACATCTCTCAACCCATCTTTATTTATAGAATTTTCAAACTTAATTCCTTGTTATCAAATTATTCCTTAACTTGCATTCAAGAAATTACATTCATTATGATCATTAAATATGATTGTCATGATCGTATTTTATTAAGAGTGCTTACTCTATTATTTCGTAAGATCTTTCTGTTTTTTATATTGCTGATTTCTCTTGTATATTTTCTATTATATTCATAATATGTAGATGTTTTTAATTTACTCAAAAAAATAAAAAAAATAAACTAAGATGGGGTTTGACAAGAAGTGTTGTTTGATATACTAAAAATTAAGTATTGAAAAATTTAAAATCTGTTTTAATTTTTAAGTAATAATTAAAAATAATACTCCGTATTTCCAATATATATATATATTTTAAAATTTGCAGCGTAAAACTTGCATTTTTTTTCCTACGAAGAGCTAATATATGGGATCATATATATTCACACAAGGTGTAGATCAGATTCATAGTTTATCAAAAGATGACGAGAAGAGTTGACACTTTCACTCGTACTGCAGAAAAGTGGGGCCACCGTTGTTTGTGGGCCCCGCAATCCCTTCTCGAAATGATGGGCTTACTGGGGCCACCGTTGTTTGTGGGCCCCGCAGTCCCTTCTCGGTTGTAACCAACTGGAGAAACAACCATGACGTTTTTGGAATTTAAAACATAATAGGGGTTTTGGAGTGAGTTGACTATTATGTGGCTCACCTTTGCTTTTGCCTTCTCGCCATTCCTCACCCTCACCCTCACCCTCACCCTCTTCCTTTTTCTTATTTTATCTTTCTTTGTTTTTTGTTTAACGATATTTAATTTTAATAAAACAGGTTTAACTAAAAGGTTTAAAAATGTATGTGAATGAGAGAAAAAAAAAACCTTCATTCGTGGAAATTTATTGCATTTATTTGCTGATTCTTAAATTGGGGTGATGAGAAACAAATAAGTTTGAGATGAGTTAAATGAAATGATTTTTAAGTAACAATTATTCTATTAAAGTTCGATTCTAATTGTGTTAAACATAATTAATTAGTTTAAAATTAAGTATTGAATATGATTACCAAGCAACACTATTTTTTTAAACAAGTAATTAAAAAGGTATGATACCATTAAAGTATGTGCTTTAATAATATCTCTTTTTTTCAAAAGTTTAAATTTTTCTAAAATCGTTGTGAGAGTTATTTATTAATTTAAATAAAAATGGGAAGGGAGTCTCAATGTCCATTCCCACAAAACCATTGTGTTGAAAAAAGTTTTTGTAATTGAGACAAAATTCACATTCTTCATAAGTTAGTGAGAGTAAATCTTACATTCCTCAATCTCACTCAGGTTGAGAGTAAGTAACAAATAGGCCTAAATGTTAGGAAGGGTGCCTTGTTTTAAATCGAATTAAGATGCAAAGTAAAATAGATATATATGAATTAGATATTAGTGGTATCTCATAATTTAAGTTTTTAGGTTGGATTGTAAATGTCCATTACAATAGGTATCGGAGTCAAACTCAGTTCATTCTTGATCTGGTGTCATGTCAAGTGTTCGGTTCAAAAGCGTCCGAGTGAGCCCACCTGAATAGATAGGTTAGCCCGACCACAACGTGAACGTTACAAATTCAAGTGGGAGATATCATTTTTTTTTTTTTTAAAATCAATTCAAAGAAAAAAAATATCCCATCATTAGTTAGCCTCATCTATAGGGGCGGAGTTAGGATTGTAAAGTGTGGGGCTAAAGATATGAAAATTTGAAAATGAACACAATAAAAGTTGTGAAATACTAGACAATTTTCTTGTAAAAGTGAGATATGGTAAAGGCATACTGTGTTTAATATGGTCTTAGTTCTATGTTCAAGCAACAAAATCATGGAATGGATCATTTTTTACTGAAAATCCGATTTGAGAGGATTTAGAGACCTAATTTATCAAGTTTAGATCTCAACTTAAAATCAGGTATAAGAACATTTTTGTTATCCACCATCAAAGTACCTATTGAAATTCGTTTTTCGGATTAAAAAAAAAAAAAAAATTATCCAATTGAATCTTTAACATCCATTCAATTATTAATTGATAAAGGTGCTCAGATTTTGAAATAAGACTGCCCATATTCTAGGAAATATGTGTTTATGTCCTAATTTAAATGAAAAATTTGATGTTTTTTTTACTTTCTACCGGTTGTAAACTTTTTCAATTGTGGTTTTTAATTAATATAATTTATGAAAAAAAATCAAAGATAAACACAGGAAGAGTTCAAAAAAAAAGGGTAGTAGCAGCATATAGTCCAGATAAACACGACAACATTTGGATTGATAGGAAGAGGCAGAGTAGTATTAATAACTGAGTATATATGAATTGGACTTATAAGAACAGTAATACTATTTTATTTTTAAATTGTACCTAAGTTATAACCCAGATTAATCCATTAATAATTTCGTCCCTGAGTCATTTAATGGCTTAAATGGTTAATTCATTAATAATTTCGTCCCTGAGTCATTTAATGGCTTAATTTTTGAGTCAAAACTATGTGCGCTCATTTAAAAATCAATTTAAAAGAAAAAGATTTCCAATCATTGGTACCTAGATAAGATGACCAAGTGAAAACGACTAAAAATAAAAAAAACATAAAATTTCTAGGAGATGGTATACAAACGGAAATTAAAGTTTGTTGTCCAAATAAATATATATATTCTATTAAATTGAGAGCAACTGCTAACCACTCAAATGACATTTTAGGTGGGGCTGTTGAGGCGAGACAAGTACCACTACTCAACCATGATGGCAATGGAATCCAAATCCAAATTGTACTACTTCATGATTCTACATCTACATGATTGATTAAGTAGGTTCAACATGTTTCCAGAAAAAGAAAACGCTTACTTTTTTGTTTTTCCTTTTCCTTTCTTTATTTTTCATAAGTGCGTAACTTATCTAATCCTCGCAGCCAAAGTTCATCCATTAATTGAATTAGCATGTGTTTTGGGACTCAGGCCACATCTGACTTATCATAAATAATGAAAACGACATAACTTATTCAAAATAGAAATAGAAATAAAAAGAAAAGAAAGTGCGTGATATGCAAGCATTATGACACAATAATTATAAAATTGAAAATAAAAAATTGTAAGTCTATGAGAGTCTCATAGTAGTATTGTCTGACATAAAATTAAATAAAATTGTATTGAAAAAAAATCCACATTGAAAGTTTTTGCAGAAAAGAAAATTATTCTTTTTTTTTTCTTTTTCTTTTCATTAAATATTAGATTGTTGCCGCCGTATAAATTTTTTCATTTTTTTCAATTGTTATGATTTATCTCTGTCTCGGCCACGTCTCCCTTTAGTGGCGCAATTTACCAGTCCCTCCAAATCTCCCAATCCAAATGTAAATTGGGTGTGTGTGTGTGTTTTTTATTTTTATTTTTATTTTTGAAATTAAAGTAACTGTTGATGGAATGCAAATTTGATCCTGAACCTTTGGCCATAATCATCACATGCTCTACCAATGAATTATCACACCGCATTATGGTGTGTGTTTTTTGTCAATAAAAAAAATAAAAAAAAAATTGTAACACGCAGACAAAACATATTTATAATTTATATGGTGTACTTGTAAAAATAAAAGTAAAACAATATTCAAGCCTATTTTCAATGCTGGGCTACTTTTGGTTACGGAAGCTTCTTCTTCTAGTAGTCCTTTAAAAGCGGTACTTTCTTGTCAACATCCCACTTATTCAACCTCTTCAAAGCTTCTTCCACCGGCAATTCAATTTATGTGATATTTAATTAACAAGAATTAAACACATTTAATAAATAAATAAGTAAACTGGGGACCAATATGAAGCGCTACCATTTTTTTATCCTAATACAGATCATATAAAAATTCTATCTAATACCACTCTACTTATTGGTGTACCGAGACGATAAGAATTAATTGAGCTATGTGCTAAAGTTATATTTAACTGTATGAAATTGCAGTAGAACATGGTTTAAAGAAATTTGCGATCCATAATTACAAGAATGACCACAATTAATAAATAAAGTCACCTCTTTGTTTCAATTTGTCAGATAAGTGACCCATATCAATATGATAGTTTGCATAAGTATGCCGCCTATCATCCCCCACCATATTCCCTACAAAATACATAAATAATTAGTCTTTTTATTTTTTTTTTAAATGACTCCTATTAGGGTACATAAATACATTTTCCATCAAAAACTTCAAATTGTAGCAAAATCACAAATTAACCATACATCAAAAAAAAAAGAAAATGTATATATATATATACACACACGCACACAGACATTAGTTAGGATTTAGTTTACCTTGGAACCGAGATT